TTGGCTCCGTCCTTAAGGGGTTAATACTATGTCCTCTTGTTGTGGTAGTTTTTCTTCTTTTAAATATAGTCTCCTCCTTTACTCTGTTGATTCCCTTTATATATTTAAATGTTTCTATCATATCCCCCCTGTCTCGTCTTTCCTCCAAGCTATACATGTTAAGATCCTTTAACCTTTCCTGGTTAATTTTTTATTGCATTTAGTTATGATTATTATCACATTTGCATGGGACATTGAGTGTGTTTAGAATTCCTAATATACTGTATATATTTTATTGCATGCATTCTTTCTCAGTAGTGAGCTGCTGGCTACATTTAATACTACAACTATAAAAGTCTACAGTTCACATAATGCTCAACCGGGAAAACAACTGGTTGGGCACTATGGGAATTATAAATAGATCTAGTGCAAATAGTTAGCTATCAGAAGCTGAAACTTCAGTAAGCATTGTCTAGCTCAGCTTGTGTATAAAAAACCCTTGTCCGTGTATTGTTTCTACAAGGAGTCCTGTCAGAGGTTTATTTATTGATGACCCAATGAAAAATACTTGTCTTCAATAAAAAACACTTTGCTGCCAGTTGTGTCTAACATGAAAATCCTGCTCAATTAAATTTTAGAAAGAAAGAAAAATAATGAAAAAATCTCAACACATCTCTGCTAAATAAATTAAACACATTTCCTTCTTTAAATTTTTCTCTTGAAAAGTAAATATGATTGCTGCATTAGTCAAACTATAGATAATACAAACTGCATGTGTTTATTTGTTTCGTTAATGTTTAAATATTTGTGTATGAATGTTAAAAGTACTGTAAAGATAATGCACAATTTATATTCAGATATCTCTGAAAACCTAAAAGGGACACTGTAGGCACCATAATCACCTCACTGTTTAGTGGAGATTCTTGTTTCGCCTATGCTTCCGCCTTGCGCCATTTCAGATCATGCCAGGGATTACAACAGTGATTCGCTAAGAGCCCACTGCTGATACAAGCCCACTGGGTGGCCCTAATTGTATGGGCCACCCGGTGGGACTCCTTAGAGGACGGGGGGAAAAATTGTTGAGGGCAGCTGGGCCCATCGGGCAGATGGGTCCATCGGGCAGCTGCCTTGGGCCCCCAATGAGTAATTGGGCCCAGGGCAGTTGCCCCGTTTTCCACGCGTTAAAGACAGCCTGTACACCTACCATTAAAATTATAGACTGATCATTTCTTTGTCAGTGGGCAAACGTTCAAAATCAGCAGGGGATCAAATACTTTTTTCCCTCACTGTATATGAGAAGGCTATGCATGTTCATGATGTACAAATACATGTACATAGCAATAAGGAAGCTGACATTCCCATAAAGTGTAAAAAGAGGTGGAACTTGGTCATAGCCACCAAGAAGAAGAAGGAATTGCAGAGGAATTAAAAGGTATGTTTTAAGGGACATATTCCTTTTAACAAAAGTACTGCAATAACCTGCTACTGTTATGATCCTTAAATGCTCTATTTACTATCAAATAGCAAAGCACCACTCTTAAAACACCAAATCTGTTGTTTTAAATTGCAACACAATTGGGTTTAGGTTGACAAAGGCAACATTCCATTCAAAACAAATAAAAAGTAAAACACATATGAACCCTTCTAATATTGAAGAAAGGTTAAATCAACATTGATCTGTTATCTATCAGGCCTTGGCTGGCAGGAGACTAAATCAATATTAGACTATTATCTGCCAAAAAAAGAGGATCTTCATGCAGCCGCTTATTAGTACATATATACCCAATGTTCAGAGATCATCTCCTGCTAGGTTATTGCTGCAAGTAATATATGGAGGACAGATTGGATAATGGGTATAAAGCTGCTACCTTACAGGATTATTGAAATATTAGAATATAGTACAATAATCAATATAGATGTCAAATCTGTATTTTCTCCTGGCTCTCGGCACCTTTTATGCATGGATTCTTGCAGTAGTAAAATGCATAACTGAGAGTTAAAAGAAATAATAAAATTTTAATGTCATTTTTTTAAAGCAGGCTACTATAACAATTTTTTCTTGTACATCCTTAAATTAACTTATCATTCATGTATGTATTAACATTGTTTGTGATTTGCTTTAGCAGATTTCTTAGAAAGTTCTATCCACTAATATGCATAGTTAAATAGTAATATAGGAAAAAAGACCCAAGTCCATCAATTTCAGCCTTACACACAGTTGTTTCTATAGTTGACCCAAAAGGAGGTTAAACACCAAGTTTAACCCCTTAAGGACCAAACTTCTGGAATAAAAAGGAATCATGACATGTCACACATGTCATGTGTCGTTAAGGGGTTAATTAAAGCAATTTCCAATAGTGCCACAAACAGTGTGGGAAAAAAACCTTTTTCATTTTATAATGGCAATCAGTTACAAAATGATTCCCTATTTTTTTAAGCATCATAAAGATAATGCATTTAAAAAAATTAATGCAAAACTAATTTTAAAAATAAATAAATACAGCATACACTAAAGGTTTCCTTATTTAATCTGTCTACCAGCAGGCAAAACCATCCCTCATGAGGAAGACTCTGCAGACATTTTTAGGTGACGAGGTTTATCCTCAAGAGCAGTTCCACTCATCATATAGTATTTAGTGAAACAGTCTATGTGCAGCTCACAGTAGAGGCAGAGCCGGTGCTACTATAAGGCGGCACTGGCGCCAGTCTTAGGGTACATCGGCCCAGGGCAACAAAGTTTGAGAGACCAGCAGGAGGGTAGCTCACAAGCAAGTAGCAAAATGCTCCATGTAGCATGGCCAAGCAGACCGTGATAGAGGTCTTTGGGATCCTCTACCCATTCTGACAGGAAGCTGCTCACTGAGAGCAACAAACAACTTCCTGTATGACCGGGTAGAGGATACAGAAGATTCTCTACCACAGTCCACTCGACCAAGCTACATGAAGATAGGTGAGCAGGAACAGGACGGGTGAGGGGGGAGAGATGACAAAAGGATGCAGAGAAAGAGACTATAAAGGGGCTGTGGGTGGTGAGGAGGCACACAAAAGGGGCTGGAAAATGGGAAAAAGAGACACAGAGGGAGAGACAAGGTGCTGGGGGAAGAGCCACACCAAGGGGCTTGGGAGAAAGAGACACATAGATGGGTTGCACAGAAGAAATAGAGGGGCTGCGAAAGGGGAGAAAGTACAAAAGGGTTTGGGAATAAGCGAAACACAAAGGGGCTGGAGGAAGAAGGAGAAAAACAAAGGGGCTAGGACCAGAAAGAGATTCCCAAAGGGGCTGGATGGGAGTAAGAGACACAGTGGCTGGTGGAAGTAAGAGACACACAAAGAGGGGGTTGTAAATTACACACAAGAGGGGTGTAAGACACACACAAAAGGAAAAAATAGATGATAATATACACTAAAGGGGAATAAGATACCCTATAATTAATAAAAATTCAAAAGATTTGTATAAGAAACACAAAAGGACGTAAGACGTTCAAAAGGGGATTTAAGTGGCACAGGAAAAGTTGCATTTTATTTTGGGGGTATAGAAAAATGGTGTGTGTGTGTGTTACTGTCTTCCTGTGACTGTATGTCGACTGTCTGCCTGTGACTGTATGTGTGACTTTGTGTGAGTGTCTGCCTGTGACTGCCTGTAACTGTGTGTGTGAATGGGTGTGTGACTGTCTGCCTGTGTTAGTTTTTTAGGACTAAAAAATAAAATTATATGTAGAAATGAACATCTACCCTGGAACTGTGCACATCTATGTGTATCCCTGTCAATGAGTGTTATAAGCTCCACCATTTTCTTTCATAGACCATACTATGTGGAGGTGGGAATTCTAAAATAATGTTTCTTTCCCACTCCAATGCATGGTTTGCTCCATCTGCATCCTGAATGTACTGAATTGTGATGTAATTCGGTAAATCTCTAATATCCTATTTTAAGGAAACCTGCACACCACATGAAGAAAAATAAAAGTTAACACAATGTGCAATTTAATGGTGTATAACAGAAATTTCAGAAGCCGGATGCCCCGGGGGGAGGGCATCGATCCGCGGTGCAGGCAACAACGGTTTAACCCCTTGCGGGAAAAATTGTGTCCGACGTCATTTAGATGTAGAAGTTGTTATGGTACCTAAACTGTCCATTTCAGGAATATTCCCAGCACTTTGTACTAGTAGTCACATAATAAAAGACCAATAACAGACTGGCCGCTGATGGTATTGCAGTGCTATGAATGTCAGGTCTAACAGGGAATGTGTATAAATGTCCTTTAAAAGTATCTCAATGTTTTATAACACTATCCCCTGTGAAGTTAATTCACACTGTACATTGTATAGGTGTTTCACAGTCCGTGTATGGCTGTATGGTTACATACAGTATACAGCTGTGACTTGGGGTACGCAGTTACTACCAGCAGGCTGACCCCCACTGCAGCAGGGCACAACTCCCAGCACTGGGTCACGTGGGCCCTCCAAGCAGAATCCCGCGTCACTTCCGGCACCGTGCCAGCCAATCGCAGGCTGTGTTTATATCGGCGTCGTACTGCATATTCATGAGGGCCAGTCAGGCGGTGGCGGCGGCGGTGGTATTGGGGGAGCGGCGCATTGAGTGCTAAGCCAGGCTGGTGGGTGGGTCACTGCTGACATACTGCCCGACAGCCTGTGTGGGCGCTATACGCTGAGTGACGCACACGCAGGGACACTCCAGGTGATATCCAGGCGGCCCGCGGGGAGAGCAGAGCAGGGGAGCCGAGCGGCACCTGGTGACAGGCCCAGACACTGACACAGGGCTCCCAGCTCTCTCTGGATGGTCCTATTCCCGGGATTATTTGCATAATTGGGGCAGAGTGACAGCCAGTACCCGGGGGGGAGTAGGAGGAGGGCAGGGAAGGGCACCGCTCATATAAAGCCTGGGATCTGCATTGACAAGGAGAGTGTGAGAGACAGCCAGGGGCGCCCTCTGTAAACCCCCAATCCCTGCTCTCCCTGCTCCTCTCCCTCCTGTGTGCAGGGGACAAGAATGAGAGAGAATGAGCCAGAGAGACACCTTGGTGCATCTGTTTGCTGGAGGGTAGGTACCTCATGACAGCCACTTACCTGCCATGGCCTTTTACTCCATGGTACACCTGACATACAGCCTGCATAGACTGTGTGCTTACACATAGATCTTACATTACATGTATTGCTTTCATAATAATACAGATATATAATAATAATAATCAGCAGCTTTGTCTTAACATATTTTAATATTCTTTTCCTTTTTTTTAATTTTTTTATTTCTTTTTAAATTTGATTTAGATAATGCATTTTTTATTCAAATTGCACAATATTAATGTAGAACACATGATCAGGTCTGGAATGAAAGTATAACAAGTACATACTGCTATACGGTTACAATAGCATTCTTCTCCAAAGACTTGGCATCACTTGTTGTTGTTTGTGGTTGTTTTTTTTTTAAATGTTCTCTCTATTTCAGAACTGTACAACATTATCCATATATACCTACAGAAACCATCGCAGTATAAGCAGTGTTTTTCATTAACAATAACAAAATAATTCTGCAGTGACCGTTTTATACTCTTACA